TGGCCAGTCTGAACTCGTGCACCAACCCCTGGATCTACAGCTGCTTCTCCAGCAGCGTGGCTCCAGAGCTGCGCCTGCTGCTGCTCTGTGGGGCCCGCTCTCTGCGCCGCACCTCTATACCCAACGACTCCACCGCCACACACGCCTCCAACTGCTGAGGCCCCGCCCCAACCCGTCACGCCGCCGAGCTCGTCACTGTCGTCACAGTCAGGAGGACATGATGGCAGCTCCCCTCACTCCTGCTCAGTCTGCAGCTGATGAAACAGGTGTTTAGACCTGAAGATAGAAAAAATAACACGAAGAGAGAAATCAGGAAGAAGCAGCTGCTCTGGTCACTTTTACCTTGAGAACAATTCATTATGTAAAGTAGAACTGAAAACTTCAAGTGAGTAATGGGACAGGAAGTGGAAACTTGAACTCCTCTCCTCCTATAGGAGACCACAGCTATGAGCAGACGTGAAGACACGACGAAGGCGAGTCGGTTCCTCATCAACCTGCTCCTGCAGCCCACACAGCTGGACCGTCCCAGACATATAAAACCTGTGTCCARGACGGGCTCAATGTTTGCYTGTGGAGGTCCACCTGTGTTCACCAAGCCTGACAGGCTGGAGCTGCAAATGTTTCAGACTTCGTGGGTTCAAGTGTAGCTTTTTTTTAATAACCAACAGAGGAGTCTGGAAGTTTTTTTTCCTTTTTCTGCAGAATCATCAGGAGGTTTTGTTTGGATGTGGAGCAGATCAACACTCAGGAGGGTTTAGAACACCTGCATTTATCTGAGTTAACTTCATGTCTTGTTTTTAGACAGGTTAGTGGTTGTCGACTCCAGACATGATATATTCTTTATCTTTAARATTAGCCTGTCCTCTCCTGGATGGTTCCTGAGTTTTATGACTTTCATAATGTTTATTCTGTTGGGTTTGAAATGCGATACAATAAAAACACTGGAGCAGAGTTAAAGGTTTTAGAGCCGCCCCTCTCCCTGCCTCACTTTAAGTCTCTCTGGATGAGTCTACACCATCATCAGGGTCACCTGGTCTTTGTTTGATAATTCACCTGTGAAACTGCAGCTTCCTCCTTTTTTCATTCAGGCAGTTTATAAGTCAAAATGATTTACTCAAATATTGAAGGCAGAAGTGGACMTCAGAGGTTTGATTGATTTAAAAGAGATCTGAAGCTGTTGGTTTTCTTACATTCAGTTCCTTTTACCTCCTGTTAAAGGCAAAGATGAACACTAACATTTATAATTTGATCTCAGCATCTGTAAAACTGGCTGAGTTCGAGASGTTCTGTTGGCTCAGGTTGACCAGCTGCAGATGTTTAACTCTGATTTGACTGGATAAGTTTAACAGTTGTTGATAAATTTAAATTACTGACTTTCGTTAAATTTATGTGAAAGACAAGCTAAAGGCAGTAAAGCCCAAAGTTTTAGACCAGGGCTATTCAACATACGGCCCGCGAGTGACCAAAGTTCGGCCCARTGGTTCATTCATCTCTTAAGCCCAAACCCCCGGTTTTTTACTGTAATTATTATGAGTTCTTTTAGTTAATCTTAGACATGTTTGGTATCTACAGAAACATCAGAATCTTGGCTACAAGCTGGTAAAAACCATTTCAATGAACACTTAAGACAGTTAAATTTACAAGCAGTTGAAGATAAAACTATGAAAGTGAAAATAAAATTGTTTTAAAAATTTGGCAAGTCAAGAGATGTCAACATATTTGTGTCAAATATGAGAATGTCAGAATGTGTTTTTTGTTTTTGATATTGTTTAATTATCACTACTTTTATAGGGTTCTGTATGTTGATTAAATGCAGCAAAATAAACTATTTCAAAGGTAACAGATCTTAGTAATACTTGGTTTATTTACATAATGACTTTAATTGCTGGATGTTCGGCTCCTGAGCTGTTGGCCTGCAGTAACTGTGGCCCCTGGAGTGATTTAGTTGAATAGCCCTGTTTTAGACCTTCTGTTGGTGTAGGGTCAGTGATAGGCTGGTTGATGACCCTCATTTTAATCAAGTTTAAGTTTTTCTTTAAATTTATAAAATGTGTTCCTGAGAGGATGTTTTGCTTTTTACTTGTAAAATCTGAGACGCTCTCATGAACCCTTTAATAAGTGAAGGACTAAGACTTCTGCACAGCAAACACTTTCAGTTGAACCTCCAGTTCTGGGAACTCTCTGAAACTTTGGTTCATTGTTGGGTGCATCTTCCAGTTATCTGCAAGTTTCTCATGTTTTCAGGTTCACACAAAGATCTGTTGTTACAGCTCCTCATCACCAGAGGGCGCTGCTGTGAAGGCAGAGCAGAGACTAAAGAGGAAGTGATAAACAATCATTTATAAAATGGAACATCCACAGTTGATGAAATAAATAAAGCTCCTTGTTTTAAACATTTTATTACAATACGTTCTGTTGAAACATCCTGACACACGGCTCAGGAAGAACAGGTCTGTGTTCCTCAAGAGTCAGAGGAACAGAATCCTGAGAACCTTCAGTTAAATGAGACCGGAGATGAAGTTGACCAGGAAGAGACGTCTAAAGGAAGTGAATCAACACTTCAGTCTATGATCTCTTCTCCTCTTTAATCCAGGAGAGGTGTTTGCAACATTAAACCCTGATSTTTAATGATGAAGTGATGTAATATTTTGTTAAGAGACATGAAACATGAGGTAAACCTTTTCCTGCAAACAAAACTGAAATGTTTCTGGGTCATTCCTGAGTTTCGGTGAGTTTCTGTAAGTGGTACCATAAAACACTTATTCCTTGTCAACTCTAGATCAAAGGAGTCCACCCACCCAGTCCAAAGCCTCAGGAGKGGGAGGTACAGATAGAGGTGTCAGGAGAGTTCTGAGACATCAAAGGGATCATCTCAGCTAATGTCTGGTTCACACAATTTATTGTGTGAACTTTTGGTCTGATTTTACCCAACAATCCAGTAAGCATGATGGCCCTAAGGAGAATTTTAGGAGGTAATCCTGACGTGCGGTGTGTTAAAAGTAATCTAAAAGGAAAAAAATTGTATAGGTCTTCTGGACGTGTTCTCTAATGAAACGTTTCGTCTCTCCTCCAAGAGACTTCAGTCTGAGAGTTTCAGGCAAAATTCAGGCTTTTGTGATGTGACTGATACTCGCATCACATGGCTATCGTTGACACCTAATTAACATTTGTTACCAGGGGGTGGAGTGATACTGGCAATAGCAGCGCTGTAGGA